ACACACACACACACACACACACACACACAGACAGACACAGGGTCGGTCGCGGCAGCATGAGGTCAGAGGGTGAAGGACACAGAGGCCAGAAACAAACTTAATGCATTTTCACTCTCATATGAGAGAGAAAGCCGAAGATGACAGGAAAGACGCGACGCTTTTTCCATCTTTAAGAATTGTCGCATCTGTCACTCCGTCATAAATTCCGCTTAATTGTTTCTATGAATATGAAGACAACCTTCAGATCACATCTGCTCCTCAAACATGTCTTAAATTACCGTGAGAAAGACGGTGACACAGCACAAGAGAAGAGAGTGATTGTTAGAAGCCAGACGCGTGTGTGTGTGTGTGTGTATTAATAGCCTGTAATCGCCTATGGGCGTCCTGATAAATTCCCACGACCTCTGATGAACACCATTCTCTCTCTCTCTCTCTCCCCCCCCCCCCCCCCCCCCCCCCAAATGTAAAGTGATCCTGGCGACACCTCTTTCTTCTTTTTCTTTTTTGGCATACCGCACTTGTCAGTGCATGGCGCCTCTTTCGTAGGAAGAAAAAAAACCTTTGCTAACTTCCTAATTTGCTCGCGAATGGTTGACTGCGCCTCTGTCACAGACCGAGTTTACACGCAACACTCAATCCAACCCATTTAGAAAGATCATTGAAAATAAACCCGATCCTGTGACAAACGCTGAGAGATCACAGAACAACACATGTGCAGCGTCGCTAAATATGAAATAATGCCCAGTTAATCCACTTTTATCTCAAACAAGCTTTGCATATTACCTGGCTATTAGTTGTCAACTCTTCAGCATTATCATTATTAATACAATTAACGTTAAATCTAACTATTCACCATTTAACATTACTTGAAATACCTTATTCTTAAAGTTTTACAATATTTGTAGTTTTTATATGAACCATAAATCGATCAATCATTGTTAAATGACATCTGAAGTGTATGTGATTCTCTTCTGTTTGTGTAAGTTTGTCGTGCATGTTTTATGTCATGTGCAGAATGTTTTGTGAGTGTATTAGGCCTATGTGTTTTTAATCTGTCATCAGTATTGAGGGAGTTGTACTGTCCTCTAGAGGAAAATACTGGTACATACTCACACAGAGTTCACGTTTGACTTCAGGATCGCTTTTTATTCATTATTTTGTTGCTCGTCTAATGCATTACGTTTTTATAACTCATTGATTGCTGCATAATTTATTAAATTGCGCTTTTATTTAATTGTACTTAATTCTTCAGTATTAGGCCTACTATTTTGCCTTTATCCATCTGAGCTATAGTCATTTTACTTTACATGCCATATTTTGCATTATTCACATATATATTATTCAGAGAGTGAGAGAGAGATTTATAAGCTGTGATTTGCATGTAGCCAAAGCAGCGGATCTGTGTGGTCTGTTTCACAGCAGTTTTCCATCTGAAGTCACAAAACGACAAGCTAAAATACACATACGAAGGTGTACTTTAGCGTGTAGATAATTTTGCATCTGTTATGGTAGAAATAGTAGACTGATAAGCCAAAATATGATATAAAAATCACACATACAAAAGTAAAAATTGTTTTAAAAGAATAAATCAGCTCAGTCTGTTTGCACTGAGGATTCAGTTCTGAATTTGAGCGGTGAGTAAATGATAGGCTACTATAAAACAACATTTACTGTGAAATACAGTGAAATCGGCTTTTTCACATGCATTTACAGCGCTCTCTTCATAGAGTCCAGCGGATCTGCAGAATTTTGTTTCATAATTCACTAACAGACATGCAACTTCTCAATATTTTAATATTAAATGAGCGATTTTGAGTGCACAGACACAACTTGGTAGTCGTCGGTTTTTGTTATGTTGTTTCAGCTGAAGCGTTGCCCCTTTAGATGCGCGCGCCGCAGGTGCTGTGACGCGGCGAGGAAACCCGGATCCTAGTCGCGCGGACCGTCAGCCACGTCACCGATCAGCGGCGCGAGCGCACAGTAGAGTAGACCAGCAGAGAGTTGCAGTAAAGTATCACGGATTCTATTTGGTACGTCTATTAAATTATTACGAGATTCATGCTTGAAAGACCGGATGACGCGCACGCGCTGAGCAGCAGAAAGAAAGAGTTTTTAAAAATTTATTTATCATTATTATTTCTGCAGGACGAACATCTGATCTGAGAACAGCTTCAAGCTCTTTAAATCCAGCGCTGATTACTGATCGATAACATGAATATCTTCCGACTGTCTGGAGATGTTTGTCATCTGGTCGCCATCATTATTCTGTTCCTGAAGATCTGGAGATCCAAATCATGCGCAGGTACATGCAGAAACACATATGTGCACAGCAGAGTGATCTAAAATACAGATTGCATGCGGTTTATTATTGAGTGTTATTGTGCGCACTGGTGATCGAACCGGACGAAAGAACGTGAATGTGAAGCTTTTTTTTTTTTTTTTTTTTTTTTTTAGAATGGATTCACATATGAAAACGCTTGACACATTTTAAACGCGCGACTGTCGGGCTGTAAATGATGTTAAGCGTTTGCTCACGTGTAGTTCTCATTGTGTTTACGTGGCAGCTGATTGTGTGACCCACCTACAGCATGTTTTTAAGGTTCTTCGGGGGTTCCTTGAGGAACTCAAGATCCTCTTTCGGCATTTATGAGTCTGTTGTGTCCTGTTCTGTTCTGAAGTTTGTGTGTGTTTCAGGTATTTCTGGGAAGTCTCAGGTGCTGTTCGCACTGGTCTTCACCACCAGATATCTGGACCTGTTCACATCCTTCATCTCCGTCTACAACACCATCATGAAGGTAAAGACCATGAAAGCCCATTTCCAGCACATAAGAAAAAAAAAATCTGCTTTGGTAAATGATAAAAATTGTTTACATAAAAAGTCATAATTATGATATAAAAAGTTGAAATGTTGAGATACTAAGTCAAAACTATTACATACAACTCATAATTCTGAGATAAAAGTTGAAATCAGATAAAAAGTCAAAATTATGAAATACGGAGTTATAATTGATATTAAATGGGTGGTTCACTGGGTTTTTTCTAGGCTTGATTGTGTTTATGGGGTGCAGTCTAACATGTGTTAATGCCTTGTTTAAAAAAAAAAAACGCATTATTTTTCACATAATTTACCTTGATTCCACACCGCTCTGTCCCTTCTCTGAGAAACAGGCTGATCTTTTCCTGTTTTTATGAAGCCCCGCCCTCAGAAATAGGCGATGGGCTCTGATTGGTTAGCTAGCCCAGTGTGTTGTGATTGGCTAAATTGCCTCTAGTACGTGTCTAAATGTCACGCCCCTCTCCTCGGCGGCATGTGCTCCGGTTGTATTGTAAACAATGGTGTCGTTAATATCGCTTATCAATTTGAGCCCGATTGAGAAGCAGAGGATATTATTGAAGAGGATCGTGCAGAACCTGTGCAA